TCAGACACCGATCTCCCACCTACAAAAGCCCCTTGGGCTTGGTCCACAATGTCCGGCAGTACTCGTCCCATGCGTGCTGCAATTATCTTCGTTATTATCTTGTAAAAAAACATTGCAGCACGCGATTGGTCTAAAATCCTCGACCCTTTGATCGTGCATCTTCTTGGGGATTAAGGCAATAACGGTATGATTCCATTGCTTCAACAGTTGCCCATTTCTGAAAAATTCCATCACTGCCGCTATGACCAGTGAACCAATCCGGTTCCAATTAACTTTGAAGAAAGCGGCAGTGTACCCGTCGGGCCCCGGAGCTTTGTCATTACCCATAGAGAATAAAGCTTCCTTTATTTCTTCTTTAGAGATTGGGGCCACAAGGTTCAAAGCTTGATCGGCAGAGACATTGGATCCATGGCCAAAATATGTATTGTCCGTTCCATTCCTTTCTCTTGGGGTGCCAAATAAATCAGAGAAAAATTTTACAAACAAGCTGCCCACTTGATTGAGTGAAGTAGTTAGGTTCCCATCTTGATCAAGGATTGCAGCTAGAGTTGACGCTGCATTTCTTTTATTTATGAGGCTATGAAAATAGTGTGATCCCTTATCTGCCTCAACCAAGTGGACTGTATTCAATTTTTGCGCAAAGAACCGTCTTTCAGCCTCCATCAAGAACAAGGCCCTCTTCCGAAGATCATTAACATAAGCCCTCTCTTGTTCATTCGCGTTTAGGACATCCAACTCATCTTGCGCAACAGAGTAGGCTTCTTTCGCGACTCGGGTTCTCTCCGAGATGTGGCTGAACGCATTTCTGTTAAGAGTGCGAAGAGGTCCTTTAAGAGACTTAAGTTTCTTGGCCAGAATATACTGCTTCGATCCCTCCACATGCTCTCTCCACACATTTTCAAGAGTAACTTTGAAGTCCTGGTGTGTGAGCCACATGTTTAAAAATTTGAATGGCCTTTTTCCGTCACTTATAGCAATGGACGTAGTTATAACTACGGGACAGTGATCTGAATTGCATGCCAACAACTTGAAGTCTACCATGCATGTTAACCCGTTGGCTCCCCATCTATCATTGATCAGTACCCGATCCAGCTTGGCTTCCATATACCTATTTCTCCACGTAAAAAATTTTCCAGTAGAAGGGCAGTCCGTTAGATCCATGTTCGCACAGCAATTCTCCAAATCCTGAAGCTCATATCTAGTTGGTTCGTTTCCTCCCCTTCTTTCAGATGGTGATAACACTGTATTAAAGTCACCTGAGATTACCCATGGTTCAACAATCAATAGTCCAAGTGCTTCAATCTTCTCCCATAATTGCCTTCTCGCAACTACAGAAAAGAGGCCATAGACAAAAGTACAAAGAATCTTCTTCTGAGAAATCTTGCATAGAATGAGACAGTGGACATGTTGAGGTCCAGTCTCAAGGATTGAGCAGTCTACTAGCGCTGGGTTCCATGTAACAAGAATCCTTCCACCAACAGTATCATGGAAGTTGGTTGCAAGCTTCCATCCATTCTTTCGGTTTTTAACGAACAAGTCAGCTTTCTCAATCGACAATTTAGTTTCCAGAAGTGCAATAACAGATAGTTTATTGTTCCAAACGAAGTCCCAGACTTCTTTTTGTTTGAGGGGTTGATTCAAACCCCTCACATTCCAAGTTCCGATCAACATTGAGCAACGGAGGTGGGTGCTCGCCGACCACCGCCGCCAGCCACTTTGTTAATCCCAAGTGGCAGGGATGTCCGAGATGTTTTCTTTTGCTTCTTAGATTGCGGGGATCGTCTTCTTGCCCCAGCCACCACACGAGAGGGCTCTATGGGTAAGGTGACAACATTTTCTTCTTCATTTTCTGCCTGTGGATCCGGATCAACTTCAGAGACAGTCTCAAGGTTGCATGGAGGGTTCAAGGCAGCTTCTGCCGCCTTCCTAGCCTTTCGGGCCTTTCTTCTAGCAGATTTTGACAAAGCAGCTTCTTCTTTGTCGTTACCGGCCTCCTCTTCAATTTCAGGAGGTGGTGGAGGGGATTGCACCTCAACTTGTGGAATTTCTGCGTCAGATGTCTCATTTGCGGCCTCATCTCCAATCTCAAGAGGTGGTGGAGGAGATTGCACCTCGACTTGTGGAGTTCCAAAAGGTTGTTGCAAAGGTGTAGCTACAATATCTTGCACTCCTGTACCATCTTCGACTACCACCAGTGCTGCCTCATCAGTTCTCTTTTCTGCCACATCCTCTTCGTCACCCACAACAGCCTCACACACATCCGTAGCTACAAGAGCTTGAGTCTCGGTATCACCATTCTCATTCCCATGCCCAGCATCCACATTTCTTTCCCTTAGATTACATTCAACACGAGTCAAGGGGCATTTTTCTGTTATGTGTCGGCCTCCCCCACACGAGTGCAAAAGGGCACCCAGTTCTGATAAAAAATATTCTGTTCAAGCGTTGATCCGTCAGGCACCTCAATGGCGATGTGTTCCAGAGGCTCTAAGGAGCAGTCAAC